GTGGTTCTCTGCCTGTGTCCGCTGCTGAAGAAGCTTGCTGGGGGTGGGAATGCAGGGTAAGTTGCGCTGCGGGGTGTAGGTGCATGAGGTGCTGGCGCTTGGGAGGCGGCCCAGATGCCTCGTGGGGGGCGTCGTGTGCTGGTAAGGGGTTGCCTGGTTGATCTACCGTGGCTGTTCCATGATATATCGTACGATGTCATAGGATTGCAGTAGGGTGTCGCCCTGGGTGTTGCTGATTATGGCTGGATCTCGCCTGACCGCTTGGGGATGAACACCTCGGGATTCAGATCTTTTAACGCAAAATTAACATTAGCTCTGGGCACTTTCTGGGGATTGTCGGAATCGGACGTTGCTAAGATTAAGCGAGGAGTTACCCGAACGTGTCGTATAGATCTCCGAGTCCTGGAAATGAGATTTCCCCGTACCCAAGTGATACTATACTGGTAAGATACAAGCACAGTATATATCGTGGTGCCCACCACCCCCCTCTCACCATAAACGGCGACAACAACAGCAACAACAAACCTCAATTCAACCTACAGCTTTGCTGCAGGCGCTCCATGATATATAGCCAGAAACATGCACGTACTAGTAAGTCCCTTCCCTGCCCTGGAATACCCCGGCCACCAGTAGGCCCGCTCTAACGCTTTTTAGGTGATCAACGATGACGGACCCCCGTCTCAGCAATCCTCCCCCTATATCCACTCTCTCGTCCACGAGCTCCAAAAATCCGGCGTAACCGTATCCGTGGTCCTCCCACACGTTCAGCGCTCCTGGATCGGCAAGGCCCACTTTGTCGGAACAGCGATCGTTCCGACATACTTTCGTCCCGGAACGCTGCACACGGATGATGGGACAACCCACCATCACCCACGTCGTGATGGCGGCGAGGAGTGGGTTCTTGTCGATGGGACGCCGGCTAGTTGTGCGCAGATCGGGTTGAATCATTACTTTCAGGAGAAGGGACCGATAGATATGGTGGTTTCGGGGTAAGTCAATCAATCAAAAAGATTTTTCGCTACTTTTATGTTTCCCGGGCTTATCGTGTTAACTTTGGTGCACAAGCCCAAATTATGGAAGAAATTCGACGGCCCTTTTCAGTCTTTCTTCTGGAACACTCGGTGGCGCAATGGAAGGCGCTGTGTGCGGGAAACACTCCATTGCCCTATCATACGCGTTCAACAGCAGGAGCCACGACCCCGCCATCATCCGCAGTGCGTCACTAATGTCTGTTCGGTTGATAAAGTACTTTTATGAAAATTGGACTCCGGGAGTTGACTTGTATACTATTAATGTTCCGCTCCTGGAGGGGATCGACAGACCGGAAACTAAGATCCTTTACACCCACATATTGCAGAATCGTTGGGTTACGGGGAGTTCCTTTGAGGAGGTGGAGGATGATGAGGATGACGGATTGGATCCCGGGGGGAGCGAGGCGGAGATTAGAGGTGTTGTGGGGAAACACGAGCATAAGCATGTGGGCCTGAAGCATAAAAAGTTTGTTTGGGCCCCAAAGTTTGCGGATGTGAATCGGTCGGTTGAGGAGGTTTGTGCTCTCATTTTATCTTTGTTTCTGGCCACTCGGGCTAATAGATTGGTCGGCTGGTAGTCGGAGCCAGGAAATGATGGGTGGGCAGTCATGAAGGGATACGTGAGGTAACTTATGCACCACTTACGGTTTCCTTTGTAGTGATTCAGATGGATTACTGGCCTAACCATTTGTCTTCTAGCATAACTCCACTGAAGGCAAACTTCATGCATTACGGCGGCCTAGTAGGTCAGGAGCTCAAGATGTAAGTATAATCGTAGAGTTGTCTGCTGGTGGACGTTTTGTTGGGGTTCCCCGGATTTTTGATATTTGATTTTTCCTCTGTTTTTTCGCTTAGTAATCATTTTCTTGTGTTCCTAGAGATGCAATTGAATCAATGGATTCTCTCTTGTCGAAAACCGGGCTAGAAGAGAAGTGCTCTTGCTGGGCAGTTGTGGAATACGAGGACTCTTACGTCCAGCCCAAGATCCAAGCCGCACTAAAAAAGTGCATACCGGGTATCAAGCTTGTTGGCAATCCTGCTGAAGTGCCATCAGAAAACTGCAAAAAAGTGGTACATTGGTCCCCGTACGAAAGCATTGACTTTGAGCGTGTCCTTCAAAGGCCAGACTCGATCATTTGCTGTTCCTATATCATAAGGTAGGATCGCGGCTTCTTATTCGTATTCTAAACTAAGGATAGACTATAGAAAAGCACTTATCCGAAAACACTACCTAGCGCAGACTATCCACCAGCACGTTACCAAACATCCTGAATCTTCCCTCTCCAAAGCGTTTCCGCTAGCTTGCGGCTTTGAGCTTGACTATGCCGAGTTCCTTGACGAGGCGCTTATCGAAGCCTATGAGTTGCGCGAAAGTCTCGGGGCGAATGTGGAGAAGGATGAGGGGGATAGACAGTGGTGGATACTAAAGCCTGGAATGAGTGATCGAGGGCAAGGTATCAGGCTATTTAGCACGGAAGAAGAGTTGGCGGCCATCTTCAAGGGTTTCGAAGACGGCTCGGACTCGGACGAAGGAGCGGACGAGAACAGCGAAGATCGGGGTGCGAACGCGGGCACCTCAATCGTCACTAACCAGCTCCGTCATTTTATCGCTCAGGAATACATTCACCCGCCACTCCTGATAGAAAAGCGCAAGTTCCATATAAGGGCATATGCTCTCTCTGTCGGTGGATTGAAGGTCTACGTTTACAAGCCTATGCTAGCTCTCTTCGCTGCAAACCAGTATACACCGCCATGGAAAGATAGCCAAGACTTAACCGGCCATTTGACAAACACGTGCTTGCAAAGCGGCGCGCGAGGAGGGGGAAACGTTAGGCTGTTCTGGGACTTGCACACTTCCACTCTGGGCGGAACGCCGGCTCTGGAGAAGGTCTGGGGAAGCCTTTGCGAGATAGTTGGCGAGACGTTCGAAGCGGCGGCAACTGGTCAGAGGGTGCATTTTCAGGTATGCACGTCCCTTTATCCCATCTCTCTAGTACAAGGCTAACATGTACTCACCAGACCCTTCCAAACGCCTTTGAAATTTTCGGCCTGGACTTTATGGTTGACGCGGATATGAGAGTTTACTTGCTTGAGGTTAACTCTTATCCAGACTTTAAACAGACCGGGGATGAACTTTCAAGACTGATTGAAGGATTGTTTGAGGGGGTTGTGGAGATTGTGGTTAAACCTTTTGTTGGGCCGCCTGGAGCTGGAGGTGAAGTGGATGATCTTGTGAAGGTTCTGGATATCGGGCTGGGGTCTTGGTAAGGACCTAAGGGAGGGGTGGGGGATGGGCGATTGGGAATTTTTCAGATATCATAATTATATAGGGAGGACGCTGATAAGCGCGGGACGGTATTAGCTATTCTGTTGGAGGTTACTGGAGGGTATCCTCATAGTCGTTAGGGTATTGGGGTTTGGTCCAAGCATAGCTTGGCAGTCATGTATTTCCCGCCTTTACATAGCTTCTTCCATAACTGGTAAAGACGGATCATCTCTCTCCACATACACCTCCATCCCTACATATTCGAGTGCGAGTGAGTAAGTGAGTAGAGAGCTCGTCTATCGCGATACTAAAGTCGGGCCGGTGTGTCTGCCCAAAGTCTCGGAATTACCAATAAAGTCCAAGGGTATGCAATAATTAACATTGGTGCCTGAGCTCTCCGGTGTGGGGGGTAAGGGATATATCTTCAAGAAATGGATTGTTGAATACCCATATTAGGCAACTGTTTCTAATAGTATAATAGTAACTACCCACGTGACTTTCTTTTGTTGCTTCCTCTTTCCCTCTCTCTAGAAAAGCACGGTTGGTCTGCTAGGCTGTCTGACAGGGTGGTTTTATGGTGAACGGTCACTGGCAGGGAATAGGCCTATGGTGTTGATGGTACCGCGCTACCCGCTCGAGTGGAGAATCTGCATGGCATCCGAAAATCGCAGTGGCCGTTACAGTTCAAAGGATTAAAAAAAGGTTCCTCCCTCTTTTTAACCATTGCTGTCTCTCTTTTTTTTCTTTCTTTCCTTCTCTCTTCGGTTGACTTGCCGCTTCGTCCAACGACGGGGGGTGGGGTCTACAGCCTAGTTATATAATAGCACCCCATAATAACAATTACGATACTATAATAGTACTCGTGCGGTATCAGTGTAATAGCAGGTCTAATTTGACAGCCTTGTCGAGGAAGCCTGAGGTCCTCGGTCCTCAGCAGGGCAGGGTTTCTGGGCTCCCCCGCCCTCCGTGGCGGTTAATATTGTCCAACGGTAACCCATGACGGGGGGAGGCAAATTGACCTTCCGGGCTCCTGTTAATTACACGGAGATCGGTTGTTTCTTGACATCTTAACCACCGCAAGAGCTGGGTGCGTGATTCATATGATATCGTGATAGCATGGAAATGAATACCACGCTTATCACACTGGCAAGTGGACTTGTATTTTTCGCTCGGATTTGGGTATCATATTATTGGACAGTGGATGGATTGTCGTAGCCACCATAAAATTAAGACGCATCCTGAGGGCAAGAAAAATTATGGACACCAGTTGCTGGTATGATATGATACCTAATAACGTAGCCCCTAGCCCCCTCACGTAGAGCGGCCGCGGCCAGGAGATCCGTGATGAAAGAAGGTGAGCTCGGCTGTAGACAAGACTCCTCGTACGGGTACTATGGGTACGATGTTCGCCACTGGTGATAATCTCGTTCAGGCCATTGCGTCCAATGTTCAAGCCGGGCACTGCGGATTTTGTCCCTGCGCGCAACGCTATGTGTGGGGGACGGGGGGTTGAAGGGAAATAAAGAACGAGTGATATGGAGTGAAATGCCTGGGCTAGAGAGAATGAGGTAAGCCTCGCTACACCCTTTTCACCATGATGAAGACTACAATACCAGGCGTGGCACATGTTCTACCTGAGAGTTATCGTAAGGCCCAACATCTATAGACTGCCTGCAGGATGTGGTAGGCGGGCTAAGAAGACTCCCATGATATTTCTATTGCATTACGAACCCATACAGTACGGGTACTCGAGTACTCGAGTACTGCAATACTGGTATGCTCCTATACTCGAGTACTGATTAAGTTGCGGTACAGTGTAACGGTTTGTACCTCCCACCTGATCCGAACCCGAGATCCCCTCTCTCTCTGGGCAGGGGGAGGTGCAGTAAATGATAGCAGCTGACATGATTTTAGAGGCTTATGAAGGATTATTGTGCTCACATAGTACCGTACTAGTCCAGTATCATCCCGACACCCATACTTGTGGTAGGCGATGATATGGTATGTACTGTACTCTGGGTCAAGTGACGGGGTAGGAAACTGTAGTCACGCTAATAAAGTAGCTACCGTATCTTGTTATGTACGAGTACAGGTACAAGTGTGCTCGTAACTTGCGATATCTTTGTTAGGCATCCCTGGAGCTTTTGAACTCGGAATGCCGCCTATGGTAGGGTAAGCGGAATTATGACAGCTTCGGGACCCGCCTCCCCAATCCCTCTCTGCCCTTTGCCGTGCTGGGTAGACTACCGTCCTAGTACGAATAAGCGTATCACACCGGACTCTTATCCTTCTTGTTCAACTTGTATGATACATCCAGCTCCGCCCACCCTATCATCCTTCAAACACACACACACACACACTCTCTCTTTCTTCCCCCCCCACCTCCCTACCCACACCCTACACGGACACGGATCTGTCTTCGTTCATTCATCCATTCATCCATTCATCCATCCGTTTAGATATCGCACTCTACTCGCTAACAACAAGATTGAATCCTTATCTCTACTGTTACTCGCAAAGAAAGGAGAAGAAAAAGAAAAAGAGAAAAGGAAAAAAAACACAAAAAAAAACTTTCCGCAATCTCCATCGTTCTGCTCAGGGAGGTGACTCCTCCGCGGAACCTCCCCGCAGGCTGCTCTCAGTCGGTTCTGAATGTCGCTGCTCATTTATACAGCCCATACTGGAGGAACCCTACAAGCTGATCGCCATTCCTTCACCTCGTACGTCTTCCCCCATCCGTGTAGCTCCAAAGCTTGTCATCCCCAAACTGACCATGTGTGACTTATAGCGTCGATGAGCTTCGAAAATGGATAGGCGAGACAATATCTATGGCTCCGGCCTGTCAAATCATTATGACGGCTAGGGGGACCAACGTGAAGAACCAGTCGCTTCCCAATGAGGTCAGCTCCACCGCCCCCAAGTATATATTGCACCCCTTTCAGTTGCTGACCCTATCGGACTATAGAAGGAGCTCTACCTCTTTGATCGCAGACTTCTCGACTCCTCCTCCTCACCCCCGACCGAACTTGTCCCTAGGCTACAAACTCCGTCCCCCTTTCCAACGAACCTCGAGTCCGAGACTGAGCTATCGTCCTGGCGGACATTGTTTAAGAAACGTCTCGCATGGTCCGAGTCTATCCTCTCGCATGCCCAGAACCTGGCAACGGCCATCTCGGAAACCGATGCGTCGACAAACGTCGTCCAACGCAGTGTCCAGATCGCATTCTCGAACCTGGAGGTCCACTCGGTTGGATTGCAGAACTCGCTTGTGAAATTGCGGGAGTGGGCGGAGGGCATGTTGGTTCAGCAGGACCGGGTGTTTCAGGAGTGGGAACCGGCCATAAAGCGGTTGGTCCGCATTCCTGTCCACGACGAGGTCAAGAAGTGTGGGCAGGATGGGTCCGGCAAGGAGAGGAAGGTTTCCACGCTCGTGGACTTTTTCGAGGTCAAGCAGGTTCAGACCTCCGCTGTTGCGGCGAGGGGCTTGGCGCAGCAATTTGAGAAAGAGGTTGTCGATCTTGGGGGCACTATCGAGGAGATTTGCGCTAGGACGTCGGATCTTAAGGATGATATTCAGAAGGCAAGGTGGGTTTGGTTGGTGGTTTGGCCTTGTGTTGGTCGCGTGAGCTGACCCCACCATAGGACATCAAGACCGCGCAATGTTCTTGAGGATATGAAGGTCCTGCTGGGCGAGATTGACGTTTTGGTCAAGAAAATTAGAACGGGTGTGTGTCTCTTGGATCGTCGTTCGCATTAGTCCTTGCATGTACGAACCCAGACTGAGACCAATGGGTGATAGACTATGAGTACGTTCAGAGTTTACAGGGCCCGAAATCGGTTTCCACAGCTTCAAAGCGTGCTTACGCGTCCACCACGGATTACCTCCCCGGCTTGGTTAACATTGTTAATGATATGGGCCGATTATTACAAATGGCCATTAAACAGAAGGTAATCGAGGGTTCGAATTTCACCACGGGAGTGTATCTAATGTTTGGATGTGATAGAACGAGACTAGTGCAACAAGTGTAAGACAACTTCAGATGGTTGCCTTTGTCCAATCACTCTCCGCTCCCGTAAATCCTCAAATACAGAAGATGGACTCGGCTTACCAAGAAGAAGACGAGCACTCACGATTACTCTCTCTGGTCATTCGGTTCCCCAAGGTCTACGGAGCCCTGCTCGTTGAATGTGTGCGGCGAAGGGAATGGTCGGAGAGGTTTGCCAATGATAGCAAGAGGGTAGCCGAGGAATTTGCATTATTAAGAGAGGATGAAGAAAAGAGACGAAAGAAATGGCAGCGTAGCACTGGGACCTATCTCCCCTTTGACCTGGAAGACGATACCTCAGAGATTATGCGTGCAGAACTCAACACCCGCGGGGACTTCAGTGGTGGGTTGCCGAGAATTTCAAGACAGGATGTTGAATCCTTCCTTTCGGTAGTACAGAATATTGAGGGCTTGGATGGTGTCGTGAAGGAGGTGAGGCAATTATATCAAGATCTTGATAGGCCCCATGGACGGCGAAGTAAGCGGCTGAAGGGCTTCAAGTTTGGGAGTGTCCATGAGGCGAGCTTGGGAGTCTCGTCAATATTTGGGCGAAATGAGGAAGAGGAGGTCAAGATACTTCGTGAGGATAAACAAAATCTTACAGAGCGGATAAAAGGCTACGAGTCCAGGATACGGAAACTCGAGGACTTGCTACATAGGGGACGAACAAGTGGTGGGAACATGTATCAAGTCACCGGCTCATCAACTCCGCAGCAACCTTCTACCCCTCAACCTGGTCAGACTTCGTTCCCCACTTCGATAGCTGGACCTTTACTCTCCTCAGACCGGCCAGGTTCACCTGCCACTATTCGACGGAAATCGGCGGAAAATGCTGACAAACCAATGGTAGTGCGTATCTCTGCATTGGAGGCTGAGCTTGCCGCGGAGAAGGAATTGACCGCTCAGCTGCAGAGGGACGCTTCTTCTCGCGTAGATCTGGAGAAGGCCATGACCACTCGGATGGCTCTGGCTGATGAAACCAAGCGAGATCTTGTCGCTAATTTGGAGGATATGGACCAGCAGCATATCGTTGAGAGGAGGGTGTTGGAGAAGGAGATTGAGGAATTGCGACAGAAGCTTGATGAGGCCTATGAGGAGATGGACCGGATAGAGGAGGGAAGGAATGAAGAGGCGGACAAGCGGTCCGTCGCTGAAGAGCGCATGAAAGGACTCGAAGGGGAGTTGGCCATAATGGGTGAAGAGGTTGACAGATTGAGGATGCTCAGTGAGGGCGAGGCTAAAAGGGTTAAGGAATTGGTGGAGGAGGTTGAATTTGTCCGTCGTGCGTCCGATCATGATGTTGAAGACCTCCGTGGGGTGCTCGAGGCTCAAAAGAAGCTGGTAGAAGCAGAAAAGGAGAAGGCACAAAGGGCAGAGTCTGCCTTGAGCGAATCACAAGATAAGAATCGAGAGTTGGTCGGGACCGTCGGAACTCTGGAGGCCCAAATCACGCAAATGAAGGACTCTTTAGACACCCTCAGCGCCCGGTATACCACCCAGCAACAGGGACAAGAATCAATCGCAGCTGCGATAAAGAGAGTACACGGCCAGCTCTCTACTGACTCACTACCGGATAATATGGACACTGTGGAAGCCACCCTGCAAGCGTTGGTCGACAAGGCACTAGGGCGCATTAAGGAGCTTGATGCTAAGGCGAAAGACGAGGAAGCGAGGGCGAATGAGGTCGGAACGAGCAAAGCGCTTCTGCAGTCTCGATTCGACTCGCGTACGATCAAGGCGAAAGATCTCACTCAACGGCTCTATACACATAACGCACGATCAATCCAATTGCTCGAGTCGATAGGCTACCGCATAGTCCGCGGTGAGGACTCGATACAGATCGTTAAAGTTCCCAAGAGCTCTAATACCGAATCTACTGTGCTTTCCCGGAGCGCTAATAATCTGGAAGGATCGATCGTTGGAAGGCCGCCGCCGCTGTCGCTGGTGCACTCATCCACGGTCGAAGACATCAATCTTCTTTACTGGATGGAAACCGAAGACTCTGACGCAGAGACGGAAAAGTACACGCAGTATCTCAAGAAAATCGGGGCATTTGATCTCGACGCGTTCAGTGACACCGTCACCAGTCGCGTCAAAAAGCTTGAGCAGGACTGCAGACAACTAATGAAGCAATGTCGCTCCTATCGGGAAAGGTACTACCGATCCCGCGACGAAGCGAATGAGAAGATCGCATACAAATCTTTTAAGCCTGGAGACTTGGCCCTCTTTCTCCCAACCAGGAATTCGGTGACTCGTCCCTGGGCAGCCTTCAACGTGAACGCGCCACACTTCTTCCTGAAGGAAGACTCGTCTCACAAACTTGCGAATAGGGACTGGCTGCTAGCCCGCATCTCCAAGATTGAGGACAAGGTGGTAGACCTCTCTCGTTCAACCGCAACTCTAACACTTCCTCCCTCCTCCTCCGCCTCCTCTTCCTCGACCGACAAACCCTTCTCTGCTGCCCCGCTCGACGACGAAAATCCCTTCGAACTCTCCGATGGCCTGAGGTGGTACCTCCTCGACGCGATTGAGGAAAAACCGGGTGCACCAACAACCCCCGGCCTCTCCTCCAGTACTGTTGCAGCTGCAAACGTGGATGCCAAAGGAAGCCTACGAGCACGCAAGGGCGTCACCGGCGCGAAGAAGACGCTAACGCAGATCACCACGGAGCACAACAGCCGCCGGAGTTCTAGCGGGAGCAATTCGCACCGAAACTCGTTGGTTGTAGGACCGGATGTCGTGGCAAGTCTCCGTGAGGCGGTAGTCAACGGCGGAGCTGCTGGAAGTGCCGTTGAATCTGTGCCTGGAACTCCGATCACCGGGGTCGGAGAGAAGGGGATGGAAGCACTTAGGGGAATTGTTGCTGCTGCAAGTGCTGTTAGTGGTAATAATGGTGGGAACGATGCCCCACCCGGCGGTGCCAGGGCATGACGGTGGTGGAGTGCCTTTCGGAGTGATTGAGTGATTGAGTGGGTAGCATCATTGGCAGATCAAACCAGGTAAATTTTCTCGTGTGGATGCGGTGGTGTATGACGGACTGACCGGTGTACGGGGTTTCTTTCTGTCTGTCTTTCTATAGCTAAGCTCTTGATTGATTGATTGATTGGTTGGGGTTGTCATGGTGTTTCTCGCATGGCATGCTAATGTATTGCACTGCACTCTGCTGCTCTGGAAGACATGGGCAGGATGAGTTGTTGGGTTGATGCTTTTTATTTTTTATTTTATTTTTCCTGATTGTCATTACCCCTGTTTTCCTTTCTTCTGTCTGTCTATGGAACGGGAATGGGAAAAGCTGGTATCATTTGGTTTGGCACACTTCATTTCAGCCTCGCGCATAGGTGCATAGGTGGGCTTGAGCATGTAAGTACTCATATATTTCAAACAATTTAGAGAGATCATCAACCACCTTCATTCCTATTGCACAAGAATTAATAATTGGATAATAAAGCTATGTATCATAAGGGATAATTGGTATCACATAACCCCCCCCCCCGGCTCTATACATACAGCACTATCATACAATAACCAAGTCATCATCCTCTTCCTCGAGCACATCTAGCCCGAACCTCGTCTTCTTCTTTGGCGAAACCGGCGAGGCCAATCTCTTCCGTTTAATCGGGGAAAGGCTGACATTGGTGGCCTCTTTGGCTTTCTGGCGGAGTGAGGATAGAGTATTTGCTGTCTCGTCGTCCTATTCCTCCCGCTCGTATAATTAGCCGCCCTTTCCCTCCTTCATCCATCAGGCTGGAAAAGGAACAAACGCACCAAACTTCTGCCACCAGTAGCAGCAGCAGCCACCGCCTCCTCCTGCCCTTTCCGGGTCTCATCCTCGCTCCAGCGCACCTGTTTCTTCAGGTAATCCACTCCAACCCCGCCCTCTCTTCCCTGGGACTTAATAATCCTCTTCGTCAGCTCCCGCTCCTTCTGCGCGTCTGCCAGGCGCTTGCGCATTCTGTCCTCTTTACTACCACGGAGAAAGGAATCGGCGAGGTACTCTGCGTCGTCCAGTAAACTGGCCGTTGACCGGCCCGACGCGATAAAGACTTTACCGCCGGCGCCGCCGGCACGTTGTGGAAGGTCTGCTATCCCCCCGCCACCAGCGGTGTCTGGCAGTAAGCCATCATCGCGCAATGTTTCGCTGGACCTGCCGCGGCCGGGGAGTCTCCGGGGTCGGAGGGTGCCTTTCTGCTTTGGCGGTGAGAACATCCCCGTAGCGGAGTTTACTTCTGCGCGGGATACGCGGGATTTGTTCACACCTTGTTCGACGTGGAAGGTACAGTAGTGGGTGTGGCGTTTGTCCACCCAGGCTGAGCATCTCTTCCCATCTCTCTTGACGGCCCTGCAGTAGTCTAGATCCCTGGCCTGGCCAATCTCTAGCAATTGGTCACCTCCTTCCGTCAGCGTGAGAGAAAACCGCCCCGTATCCGCGATCCTCGGCTTCATTATGCCAGGATTGAGCAATGCTACTACAGTGCCCACACCAACTTTCCAAAACTTATCGAACCCGGCGCCGAACAGGAACAGCTCCACTTCCCACTTTAGATCGGTGATTTGGAGGACCATATATTTCCCTGTGCCCTTCTTTTGGGTGTTCTGCCCGATGTCCCTTGGAGGGGATTTCGAACAGATTATGCCCATCACAACCCAGTCGCCGAGGACATTGGGTGGTTCAAATTCGGGGGATTTGACGGACTTCAGGAGGTGCGGGAGGAGGAAGATGGTTTTCGGAGAGAGGTGGCGGGAGAGGGTAATGTGGGTGATCAGACGGCGGGAAAGGTGCAGGCCTGAGAAGGAGTCAAAACCGCCCTCGTCTGGGGAATTGGGGTCTTCGAGTGGCGGTGTTGGTTTGGGAGCGGTGGTAAAGGGGTCTGTGATGCCTTTTGGCGCTGCTGAGTCCGAGGGTAGTGGTGGTTTTGGATGTTGAGTCATGCCAGCCGCGGAGCTTGATGACCCCGAAGATTGTAAAATCCCGCCAGGACCAAAGGTTGGAGGAGGTCCACTTGTAAAGCTCGGGGGAGGCCCATTGCCAAAACCTACAAATCCCTTACTCCGGCTATTCTCAATCATACGCCGACGCTCAGTCTTCTCCCTGTCATTCCTTCGCTCTTCCGCAATCCTCTCACTGAAAGTCTTCTTTGGCTTCTGGGGCGACCTAGTCCCGGGTCTAGAACTCCCGGTTCTTAGCGATGGTGCCCTTCGTAGGGAAACGTCCCTTCCTGTTAATCCTTTGTCTATCCCTAACAGCACTCTTGAAGGTGACTTTGGAAGGACCGGTTCCGTCTTTATCGACGTTGGTGATAAGGGGACTTGGACTGCTGCTTTAGGTTCAGATGATGCCTGTTTCTGTGAAGCTTGTTTCTTCTGCAGTCTCTTGAGCTTTAGTTTAGCTTCTATTTGGGCGAGCTTGAGTTGGAGTGTCTCTTCATCGTCCTCCTCATCTTCGCCATTGCCGTCGTCGTGTGCACCGTCGCCGCCGAATGGAGATGGAAGGGTGGCTTTGCGGAGAGGGGATGGGGAGGTGGGAATTGTTTGGCTTGGTGGGTGGGATTTGCGGGGTGTGAGGTTTAAAACGTCCGCAGTTGTCTGCGGAGGCCAGACTATATCTGTTTGGCTTGCTATTAATATCTGTTTTTTTCAATCATGATGAGCGAGAAGAGGGTATAGGTAATGCTAGCACTATTCGTAGCTTGAATAAAGACATACCTTTATTCGAGGCCATCACACAAGGTGCGTGAAGGGAAATGGGAGGAGAGTCCTCAATCGCCCAATAGACGTGTTGGACGAGACGGGGAGCAGGAAACGCGCCTGAAGATGAGGCTCAACCCCTTCCATAACTTGACTAACCCAATGCAGCATAACTCAATCATCCTACAACTGGACCGGGTAACACATCACTTCGCCGCGTAGAGAAATTCTTCCTGCTTATCATGCCGGTATCGTATCGTACCTTACAAAATACATTCCAAACCCACACATATACACCAACCATAATGATCCGTTCGGCGTCATTAAAAAAGCTTTCTCCTCCTTTAACAGTACTAAAGCCTCGATATCCATTTCGGAACACATATCGAGCCTTTGCCTCTTCTATCCCCAATATCCCCACCAAGGCAAGTGTTGCCCATCGAGCTTTTTTATTTTTATTTTTAACATTCGCTTTTCCCATTGTGGCTGATAAGTAGCGCTTTAGGACCCCATAGAACTAGACAACATCACCACACTGCCTAATGGCATCCGAGTTGCAACAGAAGCATTACCAGGCCACTTCTCCGCCCTAGGGGTGTACATCGACGCTGGTTCCCGGTACGAGAGCTCCCGCATTCGCGGTGTCAGCCATTTAATCGACCGCCTAGCCTTCAAGAGCACAAGTGCCCGTAGTTCCGACAGGATGCTCGAGACGCTTGAATCTTTCGGCGGGAATGTACAATGCGCCTCGTCGCGTGAATCGCTAATGTACCAGTGCGCCATCTTCAACAAGGACGCCCCGTCCATGATGGGGCTCCTCGCGGAAACCATCCGTGACCCACTAATCACGGAGGAGGAGGTCGCACAACAGTTAGACACTGCGGCTTACGAGATTCAAGAGATCTGGGCAAAACCGGAGTTAATACTACCCGAGTTGCTGCACATGACGGCGTATCGGGATAACACTCTGGGTAATCCGCTGTTGTGTCCGGCAGATAGGCTTGACGAGATCCGGAGGGAGACGATATTGGAGTATAGGGATATATTCTATCGGCCCGAGAGGATCGTCGTCGCCCTCGCAGGTGTGGATCATTCCACCGCGGTGAAGCTGGCCGAGAGATATTTCGGGGATATGAAGAGTGTGGAGCCGTCGCCCCCGCCACTACATGCCGGCGCGTCGCCGCTGGGTAGTAGTAGTAGTAGTAGTAGTTACGCATCGGCCCTTTCCTCTGGAATCCTCTCCAAAATCCCGCTAGCGAAGAACCTCTCCACCAGCGCCCCCCGTTCAGCAGACGTCCACCCCTCTTACCCAGGCATAAACCTCTCCATCCCATCGCACTACACTGGCGGCGCTACCACCCTTCCGCCATCCGACCTCCCTTCACACCTGCCAACCTTCACTCAGCTGCAAATTGCTTTCGAAGGTTTGCCCATCTCAGATCCCGACATTTACGCCCTAGCAACGCTCCAAACCCTCCTCGGCGGCGGCGGTTCCTTTTCCGCCGGCGGACCCGGGAAAGGGATGTACTCACGCCTCTTCACCAATGTGCTAAACCAGCACGGCTGGATAGAGTCCTGCATTGCCTTCAACCACTCATACACGGACTCGGGTCTCTTCGGCATCGCCGCTTCCTGCCACCCAGGCGCGGGGCCGCACTTAGTGGATGTGATGCTGAAGGAACTCGCCGCGACAGTTACGAAATCCGGCCACTCCAGCCTCAAGAGCGCGGAAGTCGTCCGTGCCAAGAAGCAGCTACAATCTTCACTATTGATGAATCTAGAATCCCGGATGGTAGAATTGGAGGACTTGGGAAGGCAGGTGCAGGTTCACGGCAAGAAGCTCAGCCCCCTCGAGATGTGTCGCGAGATCGAGAAATTGGAGGTCAAGGATGTGAGGAGGGTCGCTGAGAGGGTATTGCTCGGCAAAGTGGAGAATGCAGGGAAAGGCAGGGGCGGGGCTACGGTTGTTGTGCAGGGCGGTGAGGCGGAGGTAGCAGCTATGGGGGATCTGTTGGAAGCTGTGGGGAGGTACAAACTTGGTAGAGAGTAACTTGATTCGAACGGTCTTTTCTTTGCTTAAGAGGGAGGGATTCTTGTAACATACTTTACACAAGGGGTTTAGGAAATGCTTGGGCTGGTTAGGTTTTGCCATGGGTGGGAGATTGCTAGAGTTGTTTCCTTTCCCCCCACGATATTCTAAAATTTTTCCCAATGCTGAAAGGCTCCATGATATGGTGTGAAAGACAGATCGCTACCTAATAAATTGGTTGTTGCTTGGTGCACAGTACCGGTATTACAGACACCAGCGTGCCCCCGCTGTGGCCTATGGGGCCGGATACGGCCACTAACTTACCGTATTATCTGCTATTATCCGGTTTTTCGCCAAGACCGGGCGTTACTTAAGGTTGGATGGTGTCGGGAGTCTGAAATGGTGCCTTCCAATGCCCCTAGGTATCATAGTAACTAAGGGGTGGGTTTTAGGTGTCTAGTACTTCACGCACTAGTGAGTGGGGCTTGTTTGATCCAGATGGGTGAAAAAAGTATTGCAACGATATGGCTTGGCACTCCTCGGCGAGTGCAAAGGGCTAATAACAGAAGGGGAGGTTTCAACAAAAAGAGGAAGAGAACTTGATATAATAACACTATCTTAAAAATACAATGCCATGAAGGGATTACTAGCGAGTTGGACCTCCATGAGCCTTTTGTAAAGTAACAATCCTTCCCGGCATTCCATCAATCTATTTATATATTCTACTCCATGGTAGACCTTTCCATACCCGCTGCGCAAGTTGAATAATCTCATCCCGTACATGGGGGCGTTGGTAAGGATCATGTATAGCCTGCCGAAGCTGGGCTTTCCAAAGAGACCACACATTCTCAATGGGATTTAAATCAGAAGAATGGGCCGGCCAATCAATTTTCTTGATCCCATTAAGAAGTCGAAACCGCTGTGTAAAAGTCGAAGTATGATAGCTGGCACCATCCTCAATTGTTTGAGTACCCATATTGAGTTCCTCCATCTTCTGATACAGTGGAGTGATATGAGATATAAGTACCTCATTCACATACTGAACAGAATTGAAGCCAAGGCGGTCTTTCTTGGACGTCCTCTCTTATTCGCTTCTCTGCCGTAGAGGTACAAGTTGACTATAACCTTTTGATGTAAATGCGCCGAAGAACTGAACTGTAACTGGTTTGCCAATAAAGGTAGGTACTAGGTACCTTTCCTCAAAAGCTGTACCTGGAGGTCGTCGTACCGTTGGCTGCCGAGAGAGTGCACCAACTTGAAGGTATACTTCATTGGTATATATATGCCGTCTCCACCATTCTTTTTGCTGCAAACAGTATTGACGGGCAAATTGACGCTGGCGATAACGATCCTCCACAGTCAAATAGGGTTTTTGGCGACATACTCGTACATAGAGGTCCTGTTGGCGGAGGTAGTCCCCAATTGTTCTTTCGGACACATTAGGCCCTGATGATGCCGTAATATCCCACAGTGTCATACCTGGCTCACGCAGGGACATATGCCTGAGCTGGCATTGGTCTTGCTCCAAAAGCGGTTTCGGTTGTCCAGGCCTTTGGTTATTGTCCACATGATTTTCATTATGCTACCGGCTCATGATCTGAGATGCTGTGGGCTTGGAGATTCCGAAAGCTTCTCCAGTTTGGGCATAAGACCAACCCAGTGCATACTTTTCAATGATAGCAATGCTGTTAGGCGGCAGCCAATTCTAGGTCTGACGAATTGTAACTGGGGCTAATAAGGTTTCTCGGAGAGTGGTCAAGAAAGCTTGTAACAAAAGTATGTATCAAAGTATAACGAATATATTGATAAGATCTCTTCTCCGTTTGCTGATGATTCTGAAAGCTAAGGAGGCACCTCAATATTTTTATTCCGCATCTGGGTGGTCGCGGGCTACATCTATCTTATACCAAACAATGTACCCTTTCCTATTTCCTACCCTTACCATCCTAATGGGCATCCGCTTGACCCTGATAAACTTTGCGTCTTGCTCGGACTACGGTTTCCATGCGTTGTCGTGTTTCCATGAGGGCATTTGAAACCTCTCCAGTGAAAACGCATGATCCCTTCGTCTTGGAGGTTTAAGTACAAGCAAGTGGTCTCGCTTCGAGCCAACTCGCTGTCCTCCTAACTCTGACTGGAGTGATCAGCTCCGTCGAGAGACTTATCAATGCACCGTTGACTTCGCAACTTGACTGCATTAACATTGAGGACTTTCCGCCATGATCGGACTAGTCAACATCGTGGGAAAGTCCCTCAACTATAGCTAGGCCTCCGGTTGGCTGTATACTATGTGAGCGTAAGACTGGACTCCGTGCCTCATCCATACGGGCACGTCCCGATAACTCATTGGACTGTTGGTGATTTCGTCCCAACACTTTCTGTCCATGTCCGAGGTGGTCAATCTCGCTTAGCCTGTAGCTCCATGGTTACCTGTCCGATCGACTCTGTTCTACTTTTCAGACACGGCCTGAGGTCCCCTTTTATATATCCTGCGAACAGCTTTCGGTCAGACGGACGGCGACGACATATACGGTGTTATGAAGCATGCTTTGTTTCAACCGGTTTATACTGTAGGGACACCAAATTCCGGCGACTCTACTACTGCGCGCAGGGCGAATGGCGGAGCCGGAAGGGGGTGTTGGCCATGGATTTTTCGCGGTTTTCAGGAGGTCTGTGCGTGGGGAAGGTCTGTGTGTTTATATGTGTAACAAATGCGCTCCTTGTGAGAGGTTTCATGAGTCTTTATAGTTTTAGAGGTTGTGCTTAACCGAGTTGTTGTTATGTGGGGCTCGTCACTATATGGGATTGAATTTTCTTCTGGCATGCTAAGCTTCTGCATTGCAATACTTTTTTCACCCATCTGATCACCATCCCAACCCATGCTAGCCTGTGCAAATGGGTGATAGTGACATACTCAGCTGTATTGCTGAGGACACCTGAAATCCGCCCCTCGGTTACTATATAAAACCAGCAGCAATAAAAGGGCCCATCCCAGACTCCAGGCACCATCCAACCTTAAGCAATGCCCGGTCTTGGCGAAAAACCGGATAATAGCAGATAATACGGTAGCACTCGCTGGTTCATTCCCTATGCGGAGAGTCTATAACCCTAGCCCTCAACAGTTTCCTGTAACAACATTCAGTCACAACACTCAATAATTCATTCATAAAGAAAAAGCTATTAAACATGGGGACTTCTATCAGGTACTACAATAGTATAAGAGAAGGAAAATAAGAAAGGGAAAACAGTAGTCTATTTCAAAGCCATAAGTAAGTAAAAGTTGGAAGAGCATAAATCAATTGTGATAGTTATTCCTACCATGAACATTCAGGCAACCCTCCGTGACAGTAGGAAGCCTCCAATCGCGGAACATCCAAATACACATCCCCCTCAAATATACAGGTGGGCTGGCAGTAACTGTTATTGCAGAACTGGTTTTAGCTAGTAGCCAATCATTGCTGTTGCTACTAATAATCATTTCCATAACCGCTTCACAGGATCATGGTACCCTTGCAACTAAAGGTTAGTCGCTTAAGGTGTTTATAGAAATTCACAACTTCAGAGATCAGGTACTTGCCTGCTATAAGTATACAACTTAAACCATAGAATTGAAATGACCAAGGCAAAGAACTGGACTTTCAATATCAGCAGTAGTGGAATGCTTCGGATCTGTTATCCTTTTTTTGTTTTTTTTTTTTTTTTCTTGAGGAATAATATTTTCCTTTTCCTTTAGTACTCTAGGTTCTTCTCTGGCTAGATTCCCATCTTTCAATCCCATGTTTCCTTCTTTCATATCCTTACCCTCCAGCTCGGCTCCTCTACTCCAAAAAGTTCAAACCCATTACCAGTATCCTTTGCCCCCTTTCCCATATCCCGTTCCCTTTTCTGTTTTGCAAGATACTGTAATGTGCAAAGCCGAGTTTTTGTAAGCACTCTTTGATTAGCCTTAGTCCCCTTTACCCTTTCTAATTCCATTGCTGTGTTCTCCTGTTCCACCTCCTTGCATGCCAGCTCAGTCTGTAGTCGAACTACCTCAGAACTGAGATTTGAAATCTCTTCTGCAGCCTTTGTAAAAAGTGAGTCTGACTAGGCACTCGGTATGCATTTGCGTAAATCTGCCTCCAGTTCCTCAGCCTCATCCTCTATAGTTCGCTCATAGTGTAGAACTTTCGAGGGTGTTGGTAGTGGTGGTGGAAAATGATCCTCAATTCGAGTAGGGTTTAATGGCCAAATACCAGTTGCTTCAAATGCATTTGCTGCAAGATGCTTATTCGGAGCAAAGGTTTTATCGCGGGTAGGAAACAAAAAACGTAGAAAGTTTTCTTTGCCAATCCCGGACCCTGCAGAGTGAGAGAACTTGTTCACTTCTTGCAAATAAAAATATTGATAGCTAGAAAAAACAAAAAAAAACAAAGCTGCATCTAATGGCTGCAAGTAATAGGTCGAATGCAATGGTAAACAAATTACCAAAATCTGATGGTTGAGACAATATTCAATAACATCAATATGAATATGCTTTTTCAAATCATCTACAATAAGCAGCCACCAATTTCCATTTGCTCTGTAAATTAGTTAAGTTAATTGTATTTATAAATCATAGGTTAATATTTCTTACCTTGTCTAAGTTTGTGGTTCAAAAATCTTCTGCAACCATTCATAATACAAAATAGTATCAATCCAACCATTATCTGAAACTTCATAGTTATAGTTATAGCCTTCAAAGTTGGCTGGATACCAACTATAATTGTGACTTTTTTCTTTAAAAATAATGCGAGGAGTTGCTACATAGTTGTCTGCAGCAATGCATTCGAGTAGAGTAACAAGTTCCCATTTGTCATCTTGACGTACAGCAGTTGGATTTAGTATACACATATGCTTTGGTACAAGCACCTTAGACTGCAAGGTAATCCCCATCTCAATTCCCTTTTCATCAAGATTGTAGAGATTCTCTAGTTGAATCTTATACTGGGTAAAAGTAATTTCTAACTACTTAGTTTATACAGTATTAATTAGTTTATAAAATACTATTATGTACAAATTTAACAGACTAATCTTTGCAAAAAAGTCTTTAAATACTGCTCGATCTGAGGCCTCAGCACAGGAAGCATCAATTCGACAGCTAAGCTTAGACTCCCATTCTGGTCATCTCTTAACAAATTGATTCTTCCAATGATATTCCACTTGG